TGAAAAAAAACCAGCAGCCACTATATTCTTAGATATGAGCAAAGCATTTGATTTTGTGGACCATCAATTACTCTTGTTTAAGTTGGAGAAATATGGCATAAGAGGAATTGCTAAAGAATGGGTTGCAAGTTACTTAAATGATAGATATCAGTATGTGGAGATTCATAAAATGATAAATCAAACACGAAACTCATATAGGTCAGAGAAAAAAGTTAATAAATCAGGTGTACCACAAGGAAGTGTGCTCGGTCCATTTTTATTCCTCTTATATATTAACGATTTACCGAGATCAGTGAAACACAAAACAGTTTTATTTGCAGACGACACGACGATTATTATTAAATGCACGGACAAAAATACATATGAGAGAGATATAAATACAGCATTACATAATATAGTAAAATGGTTACAAAATAATAATCTGAAAATAAACTTAGTAAAAACAAAAATAATTCAATATTATACAAAGAATTGCACCAAAATTAATCTAGACATAAAATGTAATGATCAAGTAATCGAACAGGTAAAACACCATAAATTCTTAGGTGTTCTGGTAGACGAAGGTCTAAAATGGGACAGTCATATTGAATATACTTGTAATAGGTTAAATCGTTTCGTTTACGTATTACGTCGCCTAAGAGATACTGTATCTATGAATGCTGCAATAAATGCCTACCATGCATATATATCGTCGATACTCTCTTACGGAATAATTCTTTGGGGACAGTCTTGCGAGGTGCGGAAAGTATTTGTAGCACAAAAGAAATGTATCCGGGCCTTGTGCGGATTACATCAAAGGGACAGTTGCAAACCAATGTTCGGTAAATTACGTATCCTTACACTAACCTGCATATATATAAGAGAAGTATGTTTATTTGTTAAATACCACCCAGAATATTTTAAAAAGAAAGGAGAAGTAAATTCGCATATGTTAACGAGGTATCAAAATAAACTGCACTTTCCAACATGTAGAATAAATCAAGCAAAAAATAGTGTGATATTTATGACTATTACAATATATAATAAAATACCGGATAACTTTAAGAATCTCCCAGTAAATATATTCAAGAAGAAACTGACGAAATGGTTAATGGAGAAACAATTTTATGATATTCAAGAACTTATTACATTGCGGAATCTGTGAAGGAATTAGTGACGTTTAACAATAGTGACGCGAAGAATCTGTGTAGTGTTGGTGTGGTGTAATTTAATTAACTTATTTCCATTTAAATATTTGCACACCCAAATAGTGGGTAGAATGTATTAGCGCCTTAATATTGCAACAACACCTTTTTTGTAACTACATTCTTGTAAATAAATGAAATTTGAATTTGAATTTATAACTTTGACTTTGCGATTTTTATTTATATCCGAAAATAAATGAAAATTTCGAGGAAAGCATTTTATGGACGCCGAGGAAGCAGTAGCTGTGAAGAGACCTCTAAGAACGAGTGAGAAAAGTGCTTTTCTCAGTGGTTCTATCGGATGCAGCGATGTATTGATGTAAATGGACACTATTTTGAAAAGATATAATAAAACTAATAAGTTGCTAGTTTGTTCAAATTTTGATTTTCTAAGAACTTTCAGTGTCACCTTCGTAGCATCGCAGGTGTGTCGCCAATGCACACCATTTCTATAGCTCAGTAAAAATGTTTGCAAAACGGTGACATAGATGTCGACCGATTCCCTAATTGCTTTTTAAGTGCCCGTTTGCAAAGTTTGGCCGCGTTTTCAGTCGCTCCGTTCGATGACGGGTGATAAGCGGGTGAAAAACATTGCTGAATGTCATTATTATTTAAAAATGAAACTCATAGCTTGTGAACGGGGGATCTTGATCCGATACGATCTCCACTGATAGTCCAAATCATGCCAACCTTTGCTCGAAGAACTTTTATTACCGTTGCCTTCGTTTTATACATCTCAAAAACTTCAAGCCACTTTGAACTCGCGTCTATGACTACTAGGTAAGTTTTCCTAAACAGCGGTCCAAGAAAATCAACGTGAACCCTTTTCCAAGGGTGAGTGTGATATGGCCAGGACTGCGGAGGGGCGTGCGGCGGCGCTTGCGCCTCGGCCGCGCAGGTTTCGCACTGTTTACAGACTGCTTCTAAATCTGTGCTAAAATATTGATATTAGGCCACTAAACGTAGCTGCGAGCCACGGACTTCATTTTAACTATACCCATGTGACTTATATGTAATTATTCTTTATCGTTCTTCTCGTTCTTTAACGTTACCCCCACATTAATATTTTCTCCTGTGTCGTGGAGGCAGTTTACAAACATAAATTGCACAAGGACAAACATCCAGACCCGGAACAATTATTTGTAGGCCATACAAATAATTGTTCCGTGCGGGATTCGAACCCGCGGCCCTCAGCGCAACAACTGATTGCTAAGCCACTACGCCACGGAGCCGTCAAAATTGTGATAATAACTTTGCCCTTAAACTTTGAGGTATGACTAATTTATAGCCCCACATAAGGCAACTGCGATCAATGTATAGTTCAAAACCTTTAATTGTAAAAATGTTTAATCTGTTCATCCTTGCATTTATTTTGCCAGCCGGATTGAACATATAAAATAATTCGACACAAAAGAGCATCCTTAGATGTAGCAACTTTTCAATCGCAGTTGCGATCTGCAGCTTGCCGCCGTGTTTGGCACTATAGGTCAGCTGATCGGGACGAGATGCGGTCTTTTTTTGCATCCTACCCTTGGGGGCGGGTTTGCTTCTCGCCGGAAGATCCCAGCCTTGCTGCCGATTCTGTTGCTGATGTGGTACTTCAGGGTATGGAACTTTTTATTCCATCCTCTGTGGTGCCCATCGGAGGCAGATCCCAGCCTTGGTTTGGTCGCTCCTGTAAAATAGCATCACGCTATAAGCAGGAGTGCTACCGGGCCTGGGCTGACGCATCAACGTCTCGGGATGTAAACACCAGCGCTCTTAAAAAGAAGTATAATTCCGCCTCCAGGTCCCTCAAAAGCGTCATTGCCAAGGCAAGGTCTGAGCACATCGGCAGAATTGGCGAGAAGTTAGTTCGCCTTCCTTCGGGAACCCGTGCATTCTGGTCTCTCGCCAAGGCTGTCCAAGGGAACTTCTGTCAGCCATCTCTTCCATCTCTGCACAGAGAGGACGACTCACTGGCCAATGCCGCAAAGGAGAAAGCCGATCTGTTGAGCTCTCTTTTTGCGTCCAACTCGACTCTAGATGACGGGGGGAACACACCGCCGACCATCCCGCGATGTGAGTGCTCCATGCCGGATGTGCGATTTACACAGCGCTCGGTTCGCAAAGCACTCTTTTCCCTGGACGTCAGCAAGTCGAATTCATGGAAGACAGCTTTGGTCCACCCGATCCCTAAAAAAGGTGACCGCTCAGACACGTCCAACTACAGGCCTATCGCCATCACCTCCTTGTTCTCCAAAATAATGGAATCCATTATAAACTGCCAGCTCATGAGGTACCTTGAGGATCACCAGCTGATTAGTGACCGCCAGTACGGTTTTCGTCGGGGTCGATCAGCTGGTGATCTTCTAGTCTACTTAACTCATAGATGGGCGGAGGGAGTAGAGTCCAAGGGGCAGGCATTGGCCGTTAGTTTGGACATAGCGAAGGCCTTCGATCGGGTTTGGCACAAAGCGCTTCTTTCGAAGCTTCCTTCCTATGGGCTTCCCGAGAAATTGTGCAAATGGATCACCAGTTTCCTTGCTGATCGGAGCATCAAGGTCGTAGTAGACGGTGCATGCTCTGATTTCAAGCCTATCAACGCTGGTGTTCCACAAGGCTGCGTGCTATCACCAACGCTGTTTCTCCTGCATATCAATGATATGTTGCTAACTGGTAGCAATCATTGCTATGCAGACGACAGCACTTGTGATACCTTATATAGCGGCCGTGCCAATATTTCTCGGGAAAACGTCGCCGAGTACCGGGACAAACTTGTGTCTGAAGTCGAGTCTTTGCTTAACAAAGTCTCGGATTGGGGCCGACTAAATCTAGTCCAGTTCAATCCCCAGAAGACACAAGTTTGCGCGTTTACCGCTAAAAAGAACCCCTTTGTCGTATCTCCTCAGTTTCAAGGCACTCCCCTTGCTGCCTCAGCTAGTATCGGAATTCTTGGCGTCGACATATCGAATAGTGTGCAGTTTCGTGGTCACTTGGAAGAGAAGGCCAAATTGGCCTCTAAAAAGCTTGGCGTGCTCAGCAGAGCGAGACGGTATTTCACACCGGCATCGCTTGCAACTTTACATAGCGCAAGTTCGGCCCCACATGGAATACTGTTCTCATCTCTGGGCCGGGGCACCCCAGTGCCAGCTCCTTCCACTTGACCGCATCCAGCGCAGAGCGGTTCTAATCGTCGACGACCGAGTTCTTTCTGATCGGCTCGATACACTGGCACTGCGTAGAGTTGTTGCATCTCTTTGCGTATTTTATTGCATCTATCACGAGGAGTGCTCTGAGGAATTGTTCGGACTAATCCCAGCCGCTCAATTTCACCATCGCACATTGCGACTAAACTCGCGTTACCATCCATACCATCTGAATGATTGGCGGTCCACCCCTGTGCTATTTAGAAGAAGTTGTCTCCCTCGCACAACTTCCTTGTGGAATCAATTACCACCAGCGAATTTTCCGGACCGATACGAATTAGGAACCTTCAAGAAAAGAGCTTACACCTTTCTAAAAGGCCGGCAACGCATCTGTAAAATTGTTAGTTTGAAGAGCACCTCCCGCCCTCCCTCAATGACTCAAGTGCACCATCCCCGTTATTACTAATCCCAACATCAGTACACTAAGAAAGACGCACCGCCGTCAATAATACGACAAATTTACGTGTAACACATCACATCATTTTTTTTATTAGGCAAATCTTAGCTCATTAATGTTTAACATCTATCAGTTTATAAGTATTAAAATAAAGGAAAATTTCAAACAACAATATATTTCATAATAATCATTACTTAACATATGTGAGCATCATATAAACGGTTGGTGCGGTCAACAAGAGTGTAGGTCGTGTCCGAGCGCGCGGCAGAAGGCGGCAACGAGCTGCTCGGCGCGCTCGCGGCGCAGCTCGTCGTGCTCGTGCTCGCCGCGCTCGTCGCGCCGCTCGGCGAGCGCAGCGAGCACGCCCAGCGCGTCCGCGAACGCCTCCGCGCGCTCCACCGCGACCTCCTCCTCCTCCTCCTCCTCCTCGGACTCCGCTCCGCCGCCGTCCGACGACTCCGAATCATCTGTACCAAAAAGTGTGGCAATAGCACTTCGTTAAACATTTTGCTAAGAATCTCCGGCGGAGGTTCGGTTGCCACATTAGACGACTCAACCTGGCAACGTACAATGCACGCACCCTGAGGACTGACGAGAAGATCGTGGAGCTGGAAGAAGAGATAGATAAGTTGCGCTGGCATATTATAGGATTATCCGAAGTCCGAAGAGAGGGGAAGGACACGGTAATCCTCGAATACGGCAACTTGCTCTATCACCGGGAGGGCGACCATCTGTCTCAAGGAGGTGTCGGATTTATCATCCACAAGTCTCTCGTTAACAATGTTGTAAAAATCGGGAGTGTGTCGACGAGGGTTGCGTACCTTATACTCAGAATCACCAAACGGTATTCGCTGAAGGTCATACAGGTTTACGCACCAAGTGGAGGAAATGTATGAGGATATCTCTAGACTCTAGAGATTGACTCTAGTTAGACTCTTAATAGACTCTAGTTTTGGAGGAATGCATGGCTCTAGAGTCTAGAGCCATGCATTCCTCCAAAACCCAATATACGGTGTTAATGGGAGACTTCAATACAAAACTAGGCACAAGAGAGAACGGTAAGCTGAAAGTAGGGAAATTTGGAATAGGGCAATGGAACCTAAGGGGCCAGCAGCTGGCCGACTTCATGGAGAAAGAGGGACTCTTTATGATGAACTCTTTCTTCCAGAAGCGGCCCCACAGGAAGTGGACCTGGTCGAGCCCCGACGGTTCGACAAAAAATGAGATTGACTTCATTATGACGACCAGACGACAACTGTTCAGTGATGTCTCCGTGATCGCGAGGGTGAAAACTGGTAGCGATCACCGAATGGTTAGAGGCACACTGAACCTAAACGTTAAGTTGGAGAGGTCTCGTCTAATGAAGTCAACGCTCCGTCCCCCTCGTGCTCTGTTCCAAAGTCCCGAAACCTTTCAGCTCGAGTTACAAAAACGTTTTCAGTGCCTAGAAGACTGCAATGAAGTGTACGATATGAATGACAAGCTTGTGGAAACTGTCCATGCGGTCGGAGCTAAGTTCTGCAAGACCCGCCGCAGAAGAACACAAAAACTCTCCGATCACAATCTTAATCTCATGGCTGTTAGACGGGAGATGAAGCTAAATTCTTCAACAGAATTGACAGCATACAGGCAACTGAACAGACAGATCTCCAAATGCATGCGGCGGGACTTACGCAACTTCAATACAGCTTGTATTGAAGAAGCGATCGAGCGGAACCAAGGCTCCAAAGTCTTTGCCAGAGATCTGTCTGCCAGAAAGACCCAACTGTCAAAGCTGAAGACCGAGTGTGGCAGCATCGTTTCCGGGGCACCTGAGATTTTGAGTGAGATTGAGAGGTTCTATGGACAGCTGTACACGTCATCGTTGGAGCCACACGCAAGTGTGAGTAACGATCCAAGAGCGAGTCTTATGCGACACTATTCCGAAGATATCCCGAACGTCAGTCTGAGCGAGATTAGAATGGCTCTCCAGCGCCTTAAAAACGGCAAGGCCTCTGGCGAGGATAGAATTACAGCGGAGCTTCTGAAATCGGGTGGAAAACCGGTACTTGAAGTCCTTCAGAAGCTCTTTAATTCCGTCCTCCATGGTGGCATTACACCGGAGGCGTGGAGCAGAAGTGCGGTGGTCTTGTTCTTCAAGAAAGGTGACAATGCTCTCTTGAAGAACTACAGACCGATTTCCCTTCTGAGCCGCGTCTACGTGCTGTTTTCGAAAGTCATTACGAATCGTCTCGCACGCAGACTTGACGACTTCCAGCCTCCCGTACAAGCCGGTTTCCGAAAGGGCTTTAGCACCATAGACCACATACATACCGTTCGGCAAGTTGTACAGAAGTCCGACGAGTACAATTTGACACTATAACTGGCGTATGTGGTCTATGAGAAAGCCTTTGATTCCGTCGAAATTTGGGCGGTGCTGCAGTCCCTTCTGCGGTGCCAAGTTGACTGTCAGTATATCGAAGTGCTGAAGTGCTTGTACAGTAGAGCTACGATGGATATCCGAGTACAGAACCAGAGTACGAAACCTATCCAATTGCAGAGAGGTGTAAGACAGGGTGACGTTATATCCCCGAAACTCTTCACCGCTGCATTGGAAGACGTTTTCAAGCTTCTGGACTGGAAAGGATACGGTATTAACATCAATGGCGAGTACATCACTCACCTTCGATTTCCCGACGACATAGTCCTTATGGCAGAATCGCTGGAGGACCTAAGCACTATGCTCAATGACCTCAATAGTGTTTCCCAACGGATAGGTCTTAAGATGAACGTGGACAAAACAAAGATCATGTTTAATGTCCATGTCACACCTATGCCGGTAGTTGTTGGGAGCACTAAGCTCGAAGTTGTTGACGAGTATGTTTACCTGGGACAAATAGTCCGACTAGGTAAGTCCGAATTCGACCGAGAGGTCAATCGACGGATTCAACTCGGTTGGGCAGCGTTCGGGAAATTACGACAAAACTTCTCGTCGACATATCGAGTGACGTACAGTTTCGTGGTCACTTGGAAGGGAAGGCCAAATTGGCCTCTAAAAAGCTTGGCGTGCTCAGCAGAGCGGGACAGTATTTCATGCCGGCACACCGCCTGCTACTTTACAAGGCGCAAGTTCGGCCTCACATGGAATACTGTTCCCATCTCTGGGCAGGGGCTCCCCAGTGCCAGCTCCTTCCACTTGACCGCATCCAACGCAGAGCGGCTCGAATTGTCGACGACCGAGCCCTTTCCGATCGGCTCGATTCATTGGCACTGCGAAGAGATGTTGCATCCCTTTGCATTTTCTTTCGCATCTACCATGGGGAGTGCTCTGAGGAATTGTTCGGATTAATCCCAGCCGCCAAATTTCACGAACGCACATCGCGGCAGAACTCCCGATACCATCCACACCATCTGGATGATTGGCGGTCCACCACTGTGCGATTTAGAAGATGTTTTCTTTCTCGCACGACCTCCTTGTGGAATCGATTACCATCAGCGATTTTTCCGGACCGATACGACTTAGGGACCTTCAAGAAAAGAGCGTACTCCTTTTTAAAAGGCCGGCAACGCATCTGCGATTCCCCTGGTGTTGCAGTTGTTCATGGGCGGCGGTAGTCACTTACCATCAGGTGAGCCGCATGCTCGTTTGCCCCCTCTCCTATAAAAAAAAAAACATACCTCAAAACCTTAAAACGAAATTGTACAACAAGTGCGTGTTGCCAGTGATGACATACGGAACTGAGACGTGGTCCTTCACTGCTGACTGTATGAGTAAGCTCAAGGTCGCTCAGCGAGCTATGGAGAGGGCTATGCTCAGAGTTTCTCTGCGTGATAAACTAAGGAATGAGGATATCCGCAGTAGAACCAGAGTGACCGACATAGCCCAACGGATTAGTAAGCTGAAGTGGCAGTGGGCCGGCCATATAGCTCGAAGAACCGACAACCGATGAGGAAGAAAGGTTCTTGAGTGGCAGCCTCGTACCGGTAGGCGAAGTGTGGGGCGATCTCCCACTAGATGGAGTGGCGATCTGGTAAAGTATGCAGGAAGTCGATGGATGCAAGTGGCTCAGGATCGTGCTTTGTGGCATTCCTTGGAGGAGGCCTATGTTCGGCAGTGGACTTGTGAGGGGCTGTAATGATGATGATATAAAGTTACATACATATGTATGTGAAGTAAACTTTCAATTACCTTGACAAAGTGCGATCGTAAATAAAGACAGCATTTTCGTAGTGACATTAAACAAAATCAGTGTTAGATTTTGTCGAAAGCAACATTCCTAGTTTACAAAATAAAAAACTAGTTTTCTCGTCCACTCTCAGTCGACTAAAAGATTTTTTTATAGCAGTGGGGGGCAAACGAGCATGCGGCTCACCTGATGATGACTGACTCTCGCCATCCATGAACAACTGCAACACCACGTGAACTGCAGGTGTTGCCGGCCGCTTAAAAAAGAGTACGCTTTTCTCTTCAAGGTCCCTAAGTCGTATCGGTTCAGATAGATCGCTGGTGGTAGTCGATTCCACAAGAAAGTTGAACAAGGAAGAAAACTTCTAACAAGTAGGAAGAACTGGGCGTAACTTAGTGCGCAAGGTATTAAGGCCGCAAGAGCCTGTCTAGTAGTGTATATAGAAGTTTTTGCAAGTGTGTTGGTGCTGCACCTTGTTGGAGACAAGTCGGTACCTGCGTTGCGCTGCGGGAGGGCGAGGGGCGGCGCGCGGTGCGGCGCGCGGCGGCGCAGGCCGGGCCACACGTGCGCGTGCAGCGCGCCGCGCGCCCGCCCCCACCCCGCGCCCTCCGCCGCGCCCACACCCTCCCCCTCGTCTGGCTCCCCGCGCAGCGCCACCATCTCGTACCGGGCGCGCAGACCCCACGACACCAGCGCCTCTGTCAAATTTTTATACAATAAGGGTGACAAACGAGTACACAGTCCACCTAATAGTATTATACGTGGTAGAGCCATGCTGCTGCTGTATTACTGGTATAGGTGTAGCTCGACCGGGGAAGGACTACGCTCTCACAGAATCCAGCGTAAAATAGCAGCTTAACGCTGCTGTATTTCATATGGTGAGTGTAAAGAACCGGAGACCCGTTTCACTGGAAACAAGGCATTCCATCTTAGTCCTCACGGGTGACAATGCATCTGCATTTTGATTCGGAAACGAGGATAGATGTAGATGTCTATGGGCCACAGCAGCCACTTACCATCAGGTGGACTGTGTGCTCGTTTATCACCCGTACACTATAAAAAAACTATATAGTATGTGAATGATCTGTAGATTTATCCTCAATTAAGAAACAAAATGCAAATGCGTTGTCACCCCTGAGAACTGAGATAGAATGCCTCATTTCCAGTAAAAAGGGTCTCCAGTTCTCTACACTCACCATACGAAACACAGCAGCTATTTTACGCTGGTATTTTGTGAGAGCGTATTCCTTCTCTGTGTTACAACTATAAAATACATGCAGCATGGTTCTACCACATATAAATTTGACTTATATTTAATTCGCGACGTGTCACTTCAAGGAGCTTTCATCGGTTTTTAATATTACTATTTATCTTTATAAATATACTAGCTGGCCTGGCACTCATTCAAAAAATGTATGAGTTCTTAATAAAAATGTGTGCACCGGCATGCATAACTTAAATGTTAAAGCAGTTAAAAGCGAGCAGGTTTGTGAGTGCTGAGCCAGTCTTTAGTAAGTAGTGATACTCTACATAACCAATTTGTGGGATTTGGCTTTCGCTTTATGGAATGTCACATTCACTATCGACTCTTTTTAATAATTTAACATGAAAATGAGATTGACACTTTAAAAAATTTTACACCCCTATAATCTAACTTCTCTATATATGTTTAAATGAAAATGATCTCCTTCACCAAGGTATGCCTGAAATAGATTGCTTTTTAGCGATAAGACCACCTAACTGTAGATTATATATATATATATATATATATATATATATATATATATATATATGTGTATATATATATATATATATATATACCTAGTCAGGTCATAAGTATTGTCACACAGTAAAAACTTTTCTTTTAGAATGCTGGCCACAAAAAAGTTTATTGAATTCGAATTTCGAATTGTTCATGAAAATAAAACTGTACTTTTTAGAATTTTACTCATTTTTAAATATGGAGTGGAAGCTTAAAGAAGACCGTGTTGCAGTTATTGCGTTGCATCGTTGCGGTTACGCGCCAATTCAAATTTTTGACATACTGACAAATTTGAATATAACCAAAAGATTCGTTTATCGTACCATCAAACGATACAATGAAGACTCTAGTGTAGATGACAGGTCAAGAAGTGGTCGCCCTCGGTCTGTTAGGACACCAGCAGTGATAAAAGCTGTGAAGGCGCGAATTCAAAGAAATCCAAAACGTAAGCAGAAACTGTTGGCCCTTCAGATGGGGTTAAGCATAACCACGGTGAAAAGGGTGTTAAATGAAGACTTAAGGCTTCGGGCATATCGAAGAAAAACAGGACATCGTTTGAATGCTCGTCTAATGGACCTGAGACTGAAGAGATGCCGCGCTTTGTTGAAGCGGTACGCGGGAAAAAAATATCGGGAAATGCTTTTTTCGGATGAAAAATTTTTTACCGTAGAAGAGAGCTACAACAAACAAAATGATAAGGTGTACGCACACAGTAGTGAAGAAGCGAGCAACCGTATTCCGTGTGTCCAACGAGGCCATTTTCCATCCTCGCTCATGGTATGGTTGGGAGTTTCTTATTGGGGCTTAACAGAGGTACATTTTTGTGAGAAAGGTGTAAAAACGAATGCAGTTGTGTATCAAAATACAGTCCTGACGAACCTTGTGGAACCTGTTTCTCATACCATGTTCAATAACAGGCACTGGGTATTCCAACAAGATTCGGCGCCAGCTCATAGAGCGAAGAGCACACAAGACTGGCTGGCGGCGCGTGAAACGCGTACAAGATATGGCAACACTTGGAGGAAAAGGCGTGCTCAAAGCCTCATCCCAATTTGGAGTCACTCAAGACATCCTTGATTAAGGCAGTCGCCGATATTGACATGGACCTCGTTCGTGCTGTGATAGACGACTGGCCGCGCAGATTGAAGGCCTGTATTCAAAATCACGGAGGTCATTTTGAATAAACTTTAGTGTCATAAGAATCTATGTTTTGTTAAGTTCATTTTGGTATATAAATGGTTACATAATGAATAAACTTGTTTCAATTATTTTATATTAAACATGTGACAGAATTTATGACCTGACTAGGTATATATATATATATATATATATTAGTTTGGTATGTGTTATTGTAATATGTGTACAATAAAGGGTATAAATAAATCTAACGATTACATCATAAAGTCAATTAATACATAGAAAACAGGATACCAGTAGCGTCGACTGTGTCTGCTAGTGCGAGGCGCACGGCACCGCGTCGCAGTACGCTTGCCGCCCGTACTTCACGCGCTTCTGCAACGTCCGCTCCCTGCACCACACAACTTGACGGTCAACAACATGTGACCCAAATACAAAATAAACAAGTACAGAAGGCAACACACGTGATTTCCAACATCAACAAATAAATGAAGGCTTTGAAACAGAAACGGAAACTTTATTATTCAATATAGATTATAAATAGTACTTATTGAAAGTTACTCTTTTGTTTAATTACCACTGGTTCGAAAAACCTCTGTCCTGGGAAGAACCAGCAAGAAACCCAGCAAGCCTTTTTTTTTAAATAACAGTTTACAATCATGTATGTTATACAATTAACAACACAAAACAAATTAGAAATAGTCTGGTAGCGATCACCTCATTCCCAGGGGTTATTATCATCCATAAATTCCTTAATATTATAATAATTATATATACAAACTTTGTATAATAAATATTTGAACTTTGAGCAGGTCAAATCTTGTATATTTTCTGGGATTTTGTTGTAAAATTTTCGCAACAAGACTCAGTTCCTCCCCATTTAAAATTACATTAGTATATAATTCTTTAATATTTGGAATCATGAATTTCATATGAGAGGCACACTGAAATGATCGGGAATAGAATATTTCGGATTGAGTAACTGTTCGCGCCAAACGCTGTTTCGGAATCGACGTCAGAGGGCGCGCGGCTCGGCGCGATACCGGTTTGAAGTTCGGCCGAGCGTGGCAAGAGCACGCGGGTCGCGTGCGAAAAGGTCTGCCAGCTGTGCTAACGATAGCACACTGTCATTTTTGTTCGGGAACCGCGGAATAGTTTAGGCGTCTAGTAAACATCCTGTCTAGGATTTATAACGCGCATTCCTTGTTGGATAGCCTTTCCCGGGACTTATTGGGTCCGACTCAGAATCTGTATAAGTGCATTCGACAATATTAGCTAGTGCGGCCTTTGATATTCTAGAAATAACTGTTGCTACGAGAAACGGTAGTGACCTTTGATCCGGACACTCCGTGTTCGTTTTGTGCATTAACCTTATAACAAACGAGAGTTAGTGGCTTCTGTAAGTTAGTTAATCGTACGATAGAGTTAATGGACTGTCATCGTGACGAACGAGGAAAGTGACTGTGGACAAACCGCGGAAGATTACCTCATTTTGGAGCAGCCTGGAACTCGGCTGCTGCTGATCGCCTATGCTTGCCAAGGCCCCATACATTCACACCTCACTGTACACTACTCGCCATCCACTATTACACACACTCACGGCCTGCCCAAGCCTTGGTGCGAAGTTAGCTCCGGATAATGGTAAGTACTATGTGTTTCTAGCTTTCTCCCATATTGTTTATTGTAATTAGGAAATTCCACGTGGCCATATTCTGGCCCCGTCCCTCTGCTGCTCGTCGATGGGATTACTCATGGGCCCTAATCTCGTCGTCCTTGGTTGGGGCAGCTAGGGGCGTGTACAATCTGGTAGCAGAGCGTGGTTCCGGGTTCGGTTCCCCGGTCGATCCCGACCATAGTGTTTGATAAAAATTAAGCATTTCTGGTGGCAGGGAGCGTTGGTTTGATTGGTTTAATTTGTATCTACAATCACGCCCGTCCGTAATACGTAAAAATATTTTTTTTGTACGTAATAATAAAATTATTTTCCTTTGTTGTTTGCTTATTTGGTTAGTGGGTAGATTTGAAAGCCGCGCCCTTTTTGTGTGCAAGCGGGAGTTTTTCTAGAGGTATACGTCATGTAGGTAGATGGATGTTATCACGTAATCGGTTAATTATCGTTGTCTGATAGTTGTAGTGGATTGCTTATCGAAGGGTCGATTTCCGAGCTAGGCATTTTTTGTTGATCGGCCGTGAGGTGTATCTTCGTTTGTATTGTAATTTGTATTTGAACTAAAGAGTAGTAATTGTATTTGCGCAATTTGAATTTAACTTGATTTGATCGCACTAGTATTTGTTATTTGTTAATTTGATTTGTGTCTTTTCTTTTGTGCTAACTTGTATTTGGTTGATAAGAAGTAATTCGTATTTGTGTAATTTCTATTCAACTCGATTTGATAGGAACTGCAGTTATTAACTGTTAATTTTTTGTTGTATTTTTTATTTGTTATCTTTGTAATTTGTGGTCGAGCCGCGTCGTAATTTGTATTTAGTAGTGATGTCATCGCCCAAGCTTCTAATCCATCGCCTGCGGACTGAGTTACGCTGGGCCACAAGCGCCCATGCTTTGATAGGTCGACCGGATAGGGTCCATAACTTGATGAAGCGGTTCGAGCAGGTGGATGTTCGAAGGGCCGCAGTGGAGGAGGCTTACGCTGAGCTCGAGGATTCGGATGTGGAGAAGGGAGTCCTGGACTCCTGCTTCGCGGACTATGAGCAGTTCTTTTCGCTCACGGACGAGTTGATCGAGGCTGAAGGCAGGTATGCCGAGGAGGCGCATGAAGCTCGGATGAGTGACCTGCCCGAGTCCTCTCGGAAGCATCTTCAGCCGGAGCTGTTGGGATGACTCCCAACTCTGGCCCTACCAAGGTTCTCCGGGGTCCTTTCCGAATGGCTGACCATCGTTGGTCTTTTCGACAGCCTAGTGGACGCCCGGAGTGACTTGACCCCAAGCCAAAAGATGGCGTACCTCCTGGCCTCACTGGAGGGGGAGGCCCTGGGCGTCGTCGGCCACTTGAGATTGTCGGACGACGCCTACCAGACTGCTCGGGACCTCCTAGCCAGAAGATACGCCAACGTCCGGCGAATTGCGGACGAACATGTTAAGCAGCTTCTAAGCCTCCCGCTGCTTAGTGACCGGGCCAGACTACGTCCGGACCTGTTGGATCCAGTCCTGGTGGCCTGTAATACGTTGAGGCGGCTAGATTTACCAGTGGGCGAATGGGCTTCTTTGTTGCTCCGCATCGTGCTGTCCCGTCTACCTCTCGACCTTCGAATCCATTTTGAGGAGAGGTACGGCGGGGACGAGGCCTCCTATATTCAGCCCTTCTATGACGAATTATTAGAACACGACGGGCACCGTTGACGACTTACGAGCCGTGCCCCGTGAGGGGCTGAATCCGCCAGGCAAGTCGTCGTCAACACCCCCCCCCCCCGCTCCTATTGTCGAGCATCTGATCACCGGGTAACGTCGTGCCCGAAATTATTAGGTAAGCCGGTTCCGGCGAGGCGAACTATCGCCAAGGAGCGCCGCTGGTGCTGCTCATGTTTGGAAAGGCACCTCCAGCGATACTGTCCGCATCGGCAGCCCTGTCTGCATTGCCAGGGCAATCAATCACCATGCAGTTTTGTGCCTGGGTGCGAACGGCATCTCCTCTCGGGGCTCTGCCAGGCCCTTGACCCCCACGGACGGGGGCGTTCAGCCACGCCCTCTGACGGGCGACTCTCGGCGTCCGACGGCCAGCCACCAGGCCTCTAGGTTTGAAAGGGGTCCCTCCCCCGACCATCATCATCATCATTACAGCCCTTCACAAGTCCACTGCTGAACATAGGCCTCCCCCAAGGAATGCCACAAAGCACGGTCCTGAGCCACCTACATCCATCGACTTCCTGCATATCTTACCAGGTCGTCACTCCATCTAGTGGGGGGACGCCCTACACTTCGCCTGCCGGTACGAGCCTGCCACTCGAGAACCTTTCTTCCCCATCGGTTGTCGGTTCTTCGAGCTATATGGCCGGCCCATTGCCACTTCAGCTTACTAATCCGTTGGGCTATGTCGGTCACTCTGGTTCTACTGTGGATATCCTCATTTCTGAGTTTATCACGCAGAGAAACTCCGAGCATAGCCCTCTCCATAGCTCGCTGAGCGACCTTGAGCTTCCTCATCCGGCCAACAGTGAAGGACCACGTCTCTGTTCCGTATGTCATCACTGGCAACACGCACTGGGTGTACAGTCTCGTTTTCAAGTTTTGAGGTATACCTGACGAGAAGATGTGCCGTAATTTCCCGAACGCTGCCCAGCCGAGTTGAATCCGTCGATTGACCTCTCGGTCGAATTCGGACTTACCTAGTCGGACTATTTGTCCCAGGTAAACATACTCGTCAACAACTTCGAGCTTAGTGCTCCCAACAACTACCGGCATAGGTGTGACATGGACATTAAACATGATCTTTGTTTTGTCCACGTTCATCTTAAGACCTATCCGTTGGGAAACACTATTGAGGTCATTGAGCATAGTGCTTAGGTCCTACAGCGATTCTGCCATAAGGACTATATCGTCGGCAAATCGAAGGTGAGTGATGTACTCGCCGTTGATGTTGATACTGTATCCTTTCCAGTCCAGAAGCTTGAAAACATCTTCCAATGCAGAGGTAGTTTCGGGGATATGACGTCACCCTGTCTTACACCTCTCTGCAATTGGATAGGTTTCGTACTCTGCTTCTGTACTCGGATAGCCATCGTAGCTCTACTGTACAAGCACTTTAACACTTCGATATACCGACAGTCAACTTGGCATCGCAGAAGGGACTGCAGCACCGCCCAAATTTCGACGGAATCAAAGGCTTTCTCATAGACCACATACGCCAGACATAGTGGCAAATTGTACTCCTCGGACTTCTGTACAATTTTCCGAAGGGTATGTATGTGGTCTATGGTGCTAAAGCCTTTTGGGAAACCGGCTTGTTAGGGAGGCTGGAAGTCGTCAAGTCTGCGCGCGAGACTATTCGTAATGACTCTCGAAAACAGCACGTAGACGCGCCTCAGAAGGGAAATCGGTCTGTAGTTATTCAAGAAAGCGTCGTCGCCTTTCTTGAAGAACAAGACCACCGCACTTCTGCTCCACGCCTCCGGTGTAATGCCACCATGGAGGAGGGAATTAAAGAGCTTCTGAAGGACTTCAAGTAACGGTTTACCACCCGCTTTCAGAAGCTCCCCCGACCAGTCGGGGGGTAATTCCCCCAGCGGCGGGGGTGTCATCACCCCCCCCCCCCCTCAGCGTGTGGAGAGGAACTTCACGGCCACTCATCGGTCCGCTGGACCCTTCTCACTCCCGTTAGCTGAGTGGCCGCGACTGGTGTACCACTATTCCCCATTTGATGGAGGCGGCCCTGG